AGAGAAGAGAGGAGAGGAGAGGAGAGGAGAGGAGAGGAGAGGAGAAGAGGGGTTAAGGAAAAGGAGGGGAGGGGAGAGGAGAGAAAGGAAAGATCATAGATATTCAGTATTGGATAATACCCATGATGTTACCTAGTACCCAAGGTAAAGCTTTCAGAGAAAATACCAGGGATGTAAATAAGCACTGGACTGAATGTCTGTAAGTAAACAGAGATCTAGCTACCTGGACAATAAAAAAATGAGACACCAGTAAAAAACCTGGCATGCACCTTTATCACTATTGTTTATTGTTTCTACTCTTCATGGGAGTTCACGTTTGAGTGAGTAATAAGCTCTCCCTATGTTGACCTATGTCTCTAACCCTGTCAGAATTAGGAAGAAGACAGGAGAGCAACCATTGAGGTCCCTCAGAACTTTTATAAACCTTTTTGTGTGTTCACTTCTAACTGTGGCACTAAAATATTGAATGAAGCATCATACCAAACATAAAATAATTTTCCCTTCTCATTTCATTAATAGCGGAGATACTTTGAGCAGTACAGACACAACCTTGTAGAAGACTTCACTTCCAGGGATCAGCAGCTGGCTTAACGGCTATGTCGCTGGACTCCTATGTAGTCGACTGTGGTTCAAGTCCTGGATCTGGTGGCTTAAACTCACACCCGGTGCATGTGCGTGCATGCGTGTGTGTGTGCCCAAGATCCCGAAAGGAGAGTGGAGGAGAAGAGATTGCAGCGTGACCATCCCCCTAGCGGGTAATTTCTCGCTTTCTGTTTCTCTGAGTCTCTCTGTCTTTTGGGCAAACAGTTCATACGGAGGCTAAGGCTGCTGGGTCCCACGTGGACAGCTGTGCAGTTTGAGGTCCAGACTCAGTAGCTTGAAAATCACATCAGGCACATGCTTGTGCATTCCCAGTATCCCAAGAGGAGAGTGAAAGGAGAAGGAACTGCACTGTGGCCATTCTCTCTCTCTCTCTCTCTCTCTCTCTCTCTCGCTCTCTCCCTAGTGAGCCCACTCATCTCAAAGTAAAACCTTAAAAAAGGAAGAGACACAAGTGGTTGAAATAAATGAGTGGCTCTTTGGAATGTTTCACACTATCTTAGTTTATCTACTATTAGTAATAAATATACAAGTGTAATAGAGAGAAAGTCTTGGACCTCCACTAGTGACAAAGTGCCAGATCATTTCAGTCTTCCAAGCTCTTCAAAGTAGACTTTTGCATGTGAAAATTAGAGGGTCCACAATTTGCTGGAGAGAAAACTGGAATCTGGGCGAGTGATAAGGGAGCAGGGAGCAGGAACTTGCCACAGTCAGTGTCATGGCTACGTTGGAAACACTTCTTGGCTTCTCCAAGTGGTTCTGATTTACTCACTCCCTTGGAATTCCCCTCTTTTGTAATGTCTACATCCCAGTCATCCCCATCAGGTTTTAAGCCCTTGGAAAAATAGGACTGTATCTTGTTTTAAACAAGTGGACCCTTGATTCATGAAAATGTGTTGAACTCAATAAATTTCAGCACTGTCGCACTGGGTATCCAGACTCAGACTCATCCTGGTACTCCTCAAAACATCATATTACCTACAAATGACCTTCAGGACAAATGTGCCTGCTCATAGGCCAATGATAAGAAAAAGGACTAGGAGTTTAGCCCAAGGCCCCAGACTGGTTATAGCATGGGCATTCTGAGTCCTAGAATCTCCACGGCACCTAGAAATACTATAAGGTTTTGAATGGAAGATGAAATGGGGTTAAAAGTGAATCTAAAGAGAAACATATATTTGAAATGAGAACTAATTTCTTTAACTAAAGCATAATCAAGAGGCACCAACAAGGAAACTTTTCACTCCTGCTGCTTTCTGAAGAGAAGTAAGTAAAAAACGATTCTTGGATTGTTTGCAATTAATTTCTCACAGAGTTATAGGAACAAAGAAAGATCTATGTCAATGGACAACCAAATGTCTCAGGTACAGAGCTTGTGAAGCAGGGTCTTTGCTGCCTTTCTGCAAACCAAAGCACTAATATTAAAACTGAAAACTTCCAGATGGCTCTGTCAAACGTCTCAAGGGTATGCATTCTGCAGTATGTCCAGGCAGTGGGGAAGAACTATCGATTTCAGAGTGTTTTGGAAGGATTAGTCATGTTGAGTTTCTGTACTGAATGTCTCCTACATGCCTGGATTTGTGGAATTTTAAGACATATGGAGTATTTCAATCCTCACTCAGTATTTCACCTCTCACTGAAATGAGTCAGTAAATTACACTACGGAGACATGCACATCATCCATTATTGTTGGAAATGGGCATACAAATGTTTTGCAGAACTTAGCTCAGGAGAAAAGAAATAGTCTGAAATCAGCAACGTAAGTAGTTAGTTTAAAAACAAAGAGGTTGAACCCCAGGAACAGATAATCTTCCTCAGACTAACAACTGAAGCACATGGGAAAGATCATTGATTATTCCTCCCATTATACCTGAAAGCCTTGTGATTTCTGTCCCTGTTTATTTTCCCTCATAATGCGCTTTTTTTTGGAGCTAGCATTTACCTTCACAATGCAAAGGACAAAGGACGACCACCATTCAAATAATTCTACTGCTCTCCTAATCCCTGGCCCTTTATTATGATCTATAGAATCTTTGTATTTGTTTTGGTATTTTTTTACATTTTCATTTCATTCCAATTCAGCAAAATAAAAAAAAAGAAGAAGAAAAGCAACAAAAATGTAAGGTTTACATTTTAAAATCTTTCTCTTAATAATTATTATTCAGGTTTTAGTCTTTCAATTTATGTTGCTTCTATTTATTACCTGTGACCGTATTAAATACCAGGCCTTGTGCTAAGTGATGGAGACACAAAGAACAAGTTAAAAACAAACAAACAAAAAAAAAAAAACTGTCAAAATCTGATGAAGACAAAAGGTATATAAGCAAATGATTATAATTAGTGAAATACTATGCTCAAAAAATATATAAAAAGGTAATAGACAAGAGAGAGATAAATTATGTTATTAAAAAAAAGTGAAAAAGACTTCAAAAAGCAAGCACTGTGGCCAGCAATGACACAAGAGTAACACAATGCTCTGAAAGGCTAAACCCCAACCCCGGAAAAGCCCACACTCAGAGACTTCCCTGAACATGCCACGTGTGTGTGCCCATAATACAGCGCAGAAACTGAAGCTTAATCTTGGCATCAAGACCTTGTTGGGGTGCTGCCTATGTCTGTCTGTTTCTCTCATTCATGGAAGAAATAAATATTTTTTTTTAAAAAAGAGGCAAGTATCATCTAAGCTGGATTTTGAAGAATAAACAGGAGCTTACTAGATAAATAAGCAAGGAGAAGAATTCCAGGCAGAAACAATAGGCACATATAGAGGAATAAAGAAATGAAACTCCGTAGTAACTCAGTGTGCTAAAATGTAAAAGAGTAATAAAAGGACCAGAGAAGAGGCAAAAGTCATTTCATACAGGGACTGTGAGGTGATTCTGAAGTACTTGTGATTTACTCCTGAGCAACTGGAGCAAGCTTCTGAAATAGAATTTGCGCTTTTGAACAAGCAACATGTGAAGAGTGTACCATAAAGGAGCAAAAAGACAAGCTAAAGATAATTACTGCAAAATATCCATGTCAATAATGCAGTACACGGATTTCTCTTCTCTAATTCTTTTTGAAACACATGGGAAGTAATAGTTAAGATGAGAAACAGTAAAGGAAATAAGCTCTGTAACTAAACTAGGTGCATCAAAATGTAAACCATCATACATGAAGAACAGCTAGCAAATATAGGGAAGCTTGCACAATGTTTCAGACCAACAAGAGAGTATCCATCTTAGTCGGCTGAACAGACACGTGCTGTCTATTACACCAGTGCAAAACCTACAGTATAAAGCCCTTTACTGTGAACCAAATGTCCTGCTAGTCAAAGGTTGTATCAGCGCCCAAAAGAGTGCTACTAAAGCAAAGCTTGAAGACAACAGGCTCAAAACCAAACTTCCAGCAACATACCACCCCTATAACCCCAATTATCCACCCCAAACTAGAAGCTTCAGAGAGAACTCGCCCAATGTAATTACTAGAAGCAATAATCTAAAAGAAACCAGCATAACTTGTATGCAAAAATATCACAAGAAGAAAATAAAACTTTGGGTGGGACACCTTTAAAGGATAATGGCACAAGGCAAGTAAAAACTGCAAATGAATCTCCAAAAAGGTTTGAAATTTAAAAATGCAAAGAAGGTAGAAATAAGCAAGGAGAGGATATAGAACATCTGTGAAACATAAATATAAAAAAAAAAAAAAAACAAGAAATAGTTACAAGACTTCAGGATGCAAAAAAGAACAAGGGGTTGAACTAGTAGATTATAGAGATAATTTGAGGGCTTTGTCCACTGTGTCACCACCTCCCTGGGAAAAGAAGATTAACTGAAGGCAAATAATAATTAAAAACATATTAATAAATAATAAAGAATTGATAAAAGATTTTTTCTTTTTTTAATCACTTATTCATTT